ACGAATGTAACCTTTGCAAGACTCAAGACAGAACCAATTTATATGAATATCATAGATACACTCATACATACACAAAGAATGCCATCTTATACTTCTGAATTACATTCTTAAGGACAAAATCTTTTGAGCTGTATTCATTCATTATTTTTCTTTTCTTACAAAACACTGTTCCACAGAACACCTGAATTGCCTCTTCAGCTATTATTCAAATGACAAGTTTTAGCATCTTTTGTAAAGTTTATTATCCATTCTGAGAAGGGATGGAAAAAAAGTGCATGTGGGTGTGCATATGTTTTTTCTTCAAAAGTTGATAATGGTATAAAGGGACTTTCTTCTAAAGAAACACTGTTCTTTTGGGAAAGAGCCATAGTTCAGCAGTAGAGCATCTGCTTAGCATGCACAATGCCCCAGGTTCATTTTGGTTTCTCCACGTTTGACTGGGAATATCTGAAACCACAGAGAGCTGCTGCTAGTAAATATTGCTGTTGTTGAGGATGATTCATTATATTTGTTACTACTGCAGTCATACCTCATGTTACGTTTGCTTCATGTTTCGTTCTTTCAGGATACGTCCCACAGCGACCCGGAACTACCGGAAAGGGTTACTTCCGGGTTTCGCTGCTTGCACATGCGCTTCGTGCATGCGCAGAAGGCCAAATTGCGCCGCACACCTGTGCAGATATGGTGCTTCAGGCTGCACTCTTTTCAGGTTGCACTCTTTTCATGTTGCGAACGGGCCTCTGGAATGGATCCCGTTCGCAACCAGAGGTCCCACTGTACTGCTAAAACCACAAGTCACATATGGACTCCATATAACGCAACTTCCCATTTCCCTGTCTCTTCTACAGATAATATCCAGTGCCATGCAAGTGGCATTCTTTGGAGCAGATTTGGTTGGTACAGGAGGTGCATCAGGGGAGTTCAATTGCTTTTGTGCACCAGTAAAACCACCAGTTGCATTGTTTAAAACAGAGTGGTCCAACATGTGGCCCAAGGTCCACATGCAGTCCTTGAGGCCTTTTGGCAAGGCTCAACAACATTTGATGCCTGCCCGCCCGCCTTTGCACTGTGCTAGGCTTTGGGAAGGAGGTGTGAGGGCTCTGACTGTTTGCTTCTTAAATCCACATAAGCCCTGCTATTGGTTTTAGATCGTGCACCCATCACATAGGTGGCTGTCCCTTGGTCTGTTGAAATTGTAGAGTCTCCAAACTAACACTGCTTTACTCCATTGGCCTGAATGGTCTCTCAAGTTTATCCACAATAATTGTTTCCGGGGTTGGGTGGGTGGTGGAATAGTGGATAAAAAAAGAAAGACTACAGCTTTCCTGTTGTTGTTTTTTAAACAAAAAAAGGTTTGGTGTTTAAACTATCAGTCTTAATTAGTATTACAGTAACTGAGCCTACTTAACTGCCATCTCTATGGTAACACATTCCTTATTATCCCATTCATAAATTATAGATATTGTTTAAAATCCTCTTTGGTAAATCAAGATTCCCCAAATGCTGCTTCATCTGTATTCTGGCTTGTGTACCAATAGGATTTTGGACGGCTTTGACTTGCATCCTGAAAATGTATCTCCTGTCAAGACAGTGAGGCTCCTGCAGTCACAAATCACTTTAACAAACAAGTGCTACTACTAATACATAAAGGTGATAGGAAAGTATACGGACAAAGACGTTTGGAAGGTTCTGGGCATACATTATTAAATGAATGGGAAATGACGACTTGCTACCAAATATTATTAAGGAGCAAGGCATATTTTACTTGCAAATTGGACACAGTTGGCAAGTTAACCTGAGAAGGCATCATTGCAACTGAAGTGTCACACGAGTATAGTATGCATGTTTGAAATTTGAATGCATGGACTGTGATACCCTGGATGTGAAATGAATTGAGTGATTGGTATGGATATAGGTGATATGTGTCTCCTTCCTATTCCAGTTGTGTGCCTTCACTAAATAAATTATATTTGCTAAATGAAAACAGGTAATATTATAGCCCCTGTCTATCACACTGCTTATATTAGCAGATTAGGGGCATAAAATGTGTCTTCAATAAAGATCTGACATACAGCAGTGGATAGAAAATAAACCTGTGATTCTTTTACTCATTAATTTTGCTTTGCTTGGCTATAATGTAGTCATGTTTCCTGTCCCTAAAGTTGTGTTAAAAGTTGAAGCTATCTTAGATCAGTATAGTACCCAAGGCCACTCAGGTGATTTCAGCACTTGAGGCAGACAATCAGACAAGCCCACCTGTGCCTTCAAGGCAGTAAAATCAAAATAATATGTATATATTTAAGCACATGGTAAATTAAATAATTAACAACTTGCTACCCTTCTATGGGTCTCAAAAACTAGTGTTCAAGGCAATCTCATCACTCACTGCCTAATGTTTTTAATGATATGAAGACAGCAATTCTTACTTCTGAGTCAGCTGGACATGTGACACTGTGGGAAGGGTGGGGGAGGAGAATATTGTAGTATTCCAGAATTTTATACTTGTGGAAGCAACATGTCTGCCTAGTTATTGTGATGGAAGTTTGTCTGCCGCTAATGCTTGCTCTCAGGGCAGTACTTTGTCTCAGTCCCATTGCCTCTATCTGCCACATCTCTGAACTGAGCTTGCAAACTGGCAGCTCACGCTGGTGAGTGGGAAGAGGTGTGAAACAATTTCTCTCAAACCACACCCACCAATACCCACACCCAGCACACAGAAGGGGAGGCAATGCTTGCACACATATTGCACAAATGAATATACTGAAGATCCAGTCCAGATTTTTCACAAAGGTCAGAATTTTGGGGTAGAAGAAAAGGCAGTTTTTTTTCTTTTCTTAATACATTATTCTGGAATACTAGCTGAATGATGATGATGTTGTGTGGCAGCATGCCCCCAAATCTGGGAAAACAGTAACTATACCACCATAAATTGTGAGCTGGTTGCTGGTTTGAGGGACTTCAATTGGCATAGCTCTGGCTGCACCCAAGGGCGAACCTGTTCAAGACTCATTTCATCCGGGAGAATATTTGGTTTCAATTGCTTCACATATGTCACAACTATGCAGTTTCAGTAGTCATGTGACCATTTAGAAAAAGGACTGAAATAAGTTGTGTCCTGGCAAAGACTGATTTTAATTCAACTGCAAATCAAATCCTAATCCTGGGAAATATGAACACCTGAACCAAATAAACTTGCTCTCAGGTAAGTATGCAAAGGAATAACCCTAATTTGGCACACGTTGACTGTACAGATGAAAATTCCTTGCATCTGTCCTGCTTTCTTTGAAAAGAAAGTTTGTTTAAAGTGGGGGGCTGGAAAATGGGAGTCTAGTGCGGGACAACACTGATAAGAAAAACTGGAAAGTAAAGAGAGTTAATACATTTTTTTAGTATGGTCTTTTGTAAACACCAACAGGTCTACAGCAACAGGGGATAAAAGATTGTGACAGCTGTGCTTTATATCATCAAAAAGTGACAAGCAGCTATGTACATTTAGGTCAAGGCCCATATCAATGGCAGTATGATGAAGTTTCCAAAAGAACAGCAGGAACCTTAGATTAAGTTCAAAAGATGTAGGGAACAAAACAAAACCCAAACCAAGGTTTTCATTTCTAGCCTTTTTGGCACAGGGACTAAATCCTGTGTGATTTGTGAAGATAGTCCTTGGGGGATATGTGCTAGCATGAAAGAATAAGGTTTCAAATGCAGCATTTTTTTGAAAGGAACTCAAACCAGCAATCCTGATACCATCAGAGAGTTTCTTTCCCCTGCGTTCTACATTGGCCAGTGGTCCTTGCCTATAATAAATAGGTTTATAGGGATTGCCTTGTGGATTGCCATGCCTTATTATATTCTAGAAAAAGACAGCAAAGAACTAGAACTACAGGGCAGAGTGGTGGTAGCAATTTTGTCACAAATAGATCCTGGTTTTGGCTCTGATGATCAGAATAACGCTGAGCTAAGATTTGTGGACAGCAATATAGATATTTTTTCATTGTGAAGGTGTGCAGCAGGACTCCAAACAACTTTGATTTGTGTTGGAAATATTGACTAGAAAGGATGTTGAAGGGATATAAATGCCAAACAAAGCCACTGAATAGGAAATCCAAGGCAAATTTATTTCTTTCCAGTCAAGTTTATTTTGGAAACAAACATACCAAAAGCCAATTAGCCCGGCCAGCCTCTCATTGTGCAAGGTATCTTTTTCACATTGTAGTGAGTTGAAAAGGGTTACTCACTACAATGTGAAAAAGATACCCTGCACAATGAGAGGCTGGCCGGGTTAATTGGTTCTCTCCCCCAAAAATAAAATAAAATAAAATAAACTTGACTGGAAATAAATAAATTTGCCTTGGAATATATGCCTTGGAAAAGTATATACATGGGCAACTAGTAGAATATCTTTATCATTTAGATTTACATCCTAAGAACTATCTCATACAAAAGACACATCTGCTGGAGAGCTGCCAGAGTAACAGAAGTATGATCTGAAAGGGTCAAATAGCTCCTTCAGGCAGGTGGTAACTCATTAGGGTGTCTCCAAGGCATTCAAGAAATGTTTCAATTAAAATAAAAATAAGATGCTAATTTAAACACCTGAAGCACAAGCTTCAAGTACTATCCCTATATTCTCCTGGGGAGGGGGACACACTTTTAGAAACTGAACATCTCAGTCTTGCCCTGTTATGTACCTGTTCAAGAGGTATGGTAGCATCTATGGGCCCTTTAAATTTTACCCTAGCCATGGGGTGCCAATTCTGTGGTCAGGGCTCATGCTGTCATCTGCTGCAGCCCATGTGGTTGAGAGCCATTTAAGCATTACTCCAAGCTTGTGAGACTCACTAATAAAAAAACAGTTCTCATATACATAAAGTACCTCCAGATAACTCTCATTTATGTGTTCATCTGAGGAATATTTCTTTAGTACTTCTGCTCAATGCCATCCAAATATACAATGAGCCATGGGATGATGGATAGTCCCTTTAGGTTATCACTTCAGGGTGCTATGAGGACACCACCCACATTTGTTTTCACCTGGGATTTTTTTTGCGATTTTTTCTATGTGATATGACAGTCATTTATTCTTATTAAATTTGCTGACCAGAGGAGCAGGAAGTGTTTTTGGACCAAGAAGATGAAGTTTGTTACCTGTTAAGACAGAAGGGTGAGGAAGTTATTGCAACCAAAGGCTGATAGCTTGATGACACTTATGGTTACAGTTTTGGGATGGGGAAATTGCAGGGGTTTGGACTAGATGGCCCTTGGGATCCCTTTCAGCCCTACAATTCTGTGATTCTGTGAAATATGGGAAAAATTTTTTATAGGGGTAGTGGCTTTACCAGTGTCTCCATTCAAAGTCCACCATGAGGTTTGACTTGAGTTCTGACGAGGGACATCTTGAATGTCAATTCAAGCCCGTCTCCCGTTGCTTCTCATAAAATGGGATTAGGTCTACCTCCTTCACACTGGTTTTAAATGATTCATATATGCCCCGTGGAGCTTCATTTATTGGTGTCTGCTTCTTTTCACAACAGTGTGTGATGTGTGGGTCATGGGGAGGCACAAGGCACAAATTCTCTGTTGCTCTGAAGGCAAAGCAACAGAGAAGGCTTGAAATGGAGTGGACAGGGCTCTAGCATCTGTATCAGTCTTCCCCAATGTGGTGCCCTGCAGACATTCGACTCCAATGAACCACTGTCAACATAATAAATGGTCAGCAATGATGGGAATTGTAGTCTAAAACATCTGGAGGGTACTGAGTTGTGGAAGCCTGATAAATTGATACCAAGGGGAACATGCACACTGGATGATGGAAGATGGTTAAATATAAAAAATAGGATCACACTGAAGGGGCCTTGTAGGCCATCTAGTTTAGTCCTCTGTTTGATATAGGAGTTCCTGAGCTAAAACATCTGCCATGGATGGCTTTCCAATCTCTGCCTGAAGATTTGTATGTTTATTTGCTCCATTGTTAAACTGCTAATACTGTACCATCAACTGAAACTGCAGCCCATTTAATAGAGCTGTGCTTCGCCTTCTTCTAGGTGACAGCGTTTCAAGTATGAGAAACCCATCAAGTTGCAGATCCCTTAAGATAAGTTTCTGCCCTCTATTGTAACCCAGAGTCTGGTGACTTATCTCTTTAGCCAGGCTTAGGGACATACAGTACATATTGCATAGTTGTGCTTTCACTGTGTGCATTTTGTATTCTTCAGATAATGTAGCTGGTGTGCATTGTTTGAAAGAATGTAATCAGTTACAAGTATCTTAAGATATGAAATTATGGCATTTTTCTTTAATGGCTTCTGATACATAACAAGTAGTAATAACTCAAAAACCTGGGCATTAAGACTCACTTTTCATGACTGCCATCTTTTCCGCATAACCATGAGCAAACAGGTGAATTAAAAGCATGAGCAACATGCTTCTGATGTAGCAAATCACTCTTTATTTAAAAATGCTTTAAAAAAGAAAAGAAAGCACCTTTTTAAAGCCTGTCAAAGACAGCATGCAAAGATAAAAATAAAAGTGTCAGGACAAAAAAAACCCTCCTGTTCTTTTTTCTCCTTTCTTTTCCTCTGAATTAATTTGTGCATCAGTCAAAAATCTGTCAGTGCATATGCAATATAAGTGACACGACTTAAGCTACTAAAAGCAGGAGAAAATAACAAATAGAACTAAATGCTGAGAAGAGAAAAGTGACAGCTATTATATGTATTCAGCTATAACAATACACTCCAAAACTGATGAAGAAATGGTGACAGAACTGCCAATTATAATTGAGTGAAGTGTAAACAGAGATGATACAAAGTCTGCCAAGCAGAACTGCAAGCAGGTGGCGATGCTCTTCTTTTGACACACCCATCCAGTAGGTGTCAGAACCTGCACAAAGCTTGTGGAATCCTAATGCCTAACTAGAGCAAATGGTGACTCATTAACACCACATATGGTGGAAAGGCTAACTTTTCTGGAGCAAGGTTTGGAGTAGGTGAAATCCTAAAGGGATAAACCTGAGACAACAAAACAGGCTGGATTTATTGTGTTTCAGCTACTAATACATCCAAATTCTAAAAGACGAACAGAGCTCACTCAGGATCTTACTTCAAGGATGAAAATGTGAATTAATGACATGTCTTTTTTAAAAAAGTCAGAGAAATGGAAAACTTATATTGTGCCAAGAGGATACCTATTCCAACTCAAGTAGTGTATTGCTTTATGCCATGGATAATATATACTTCATTAGTATAGAAGAAGAAGAAGACGACGATGAAGAAGTCAGAATTCTATAGGCCCTCTGAATAGGAAATGTCCAAATGTGCCACAAGGAATTAAAAAGGTTTATTTGGGCTTATCCATGGGAAAGTGCTGAGCTCACTTTTTGTGAGTGACTGGAGAAAGTGGCAAAGACCATTTCTTTGTATTGATGCAATAAGCAGCGTCCTAATGTTTTCTCTTTGACTAATGTGTCCTTCAATTTTTACAATGGACTGAATGGAGAAGCATTAATATGCTGTGATTTCAACATGCTGTGAATGATTTCCTGAGATTGAAGGATCCTCCTCCGGGTTTATTGATTTTGGATGTGCATTTCTTTCTTCAGCTACTTGGAAGGAGAAGGTCCACTCAGCATCATTATAGAGAAGGATTCTTTGGAGTTTAAAAAAATGTGTCTTCTTTACCCAAGATAAACTCATGGAAGAGGAAAAACGCCTTGATTATAGAGAAGGTTCTTTAGAAAGAATGGCTACAATGGAAAGGGTTCATTAAATATTGTTTACTGCAGTTGATTAAGTTGTGAACTGATATCACAATTTCATGCTGCTTATGCCAATCTTTTTAAACTTGGTAGAATTATTAATCTGCCATTCTAAATCTATCTGTGAGAATATCAACAAACATATAGATAGATAGTATCCTGTTGACACTGGGTGCTTAGACTTTCAAAATGATTTGGGTAAAGTAGCCCACCAAAGATTCCTCTTATTGGCCAGTCACTAGTTCCTCCAAGATAATGCATGCTTTTTAACTTGTTCATTAATGATCTAGAATTCGGGGTGAGTGTGAGGTGACCTTATTTGCTGATAATACCAAATTGATGATCAAAACAAAGAGGGATTGCAAGGATTTTATAAAGGATCTGTTCAAATGACAAATGCAGTTCAATATAAACATTTGTAAGGTGATGGACACCAAAGCAAAAAAGGTCCTAATTTCGCATATGCGCTAATTGGTTCTGAACTGGCAGTGACTGACCAGGAACAAGACCTTGGAGAGCTAAATGAAGGTTTGGCTCAGTGTTTGGCAACTGTGAAAAAGGCAAATTCCATTTTAGGGATGATTACACAAGGGATTGAAAATAAGACCACACTAGATGGACCTTTGACCTAATCCAGCACTTTCTCCTTATGTTATCTTTCTCTTCATGTAGCAAAATCTGGCCATAGAAAAGAAAGTGCAAAATAGGCATCATATATAACAGCCAGTTTTAGATATGGGGAAACGTTCTTCTTGACCCACACTTGGAGTTTAAATTTAATGTATTCACTGTGAGATTAAGGGAGAGAGGGTGGATTGTAGCATTTGAAAAACTCTAATGAAGAGACTGGGTGGTCATGTAGCACCTGATCAAGCACTCCTTCAATGGGGCATCATGACACACAATGGTGTGTATATTTGTGTGTTGTTTTGTGGGTGGGTTTGTCAGTAACCTCCATTAAAAATTCAATTTATTCCTTCTTAATAATCTGTAGCAGTTTACCTTCAGGAACTGATGGAAGGAATAAGCAGGAATTACTGAATAGGAATGTAATATGATGATATATGACCATTTTCTTTTACATTTCCCAAGAAACATTGTGCAGGAAAGTTATGTTAATAGGCATCATCACCATAATTGGGAATTTAAATGCACAAAAGTCAGAAAATTAGAATGAATGATTCCCACAGCTATAGTGATTCCACGACTAATAAATGTGTGTCTGTCTGTTCTTGAAAAGAATGAATAGCACATGCATTTAACCATTAATATTCTCATTTTTGCAAAAACAGCATGCTGCTATTTGTTTCTAAGAAAGCAAAAATCAGTGAAAGTACCATATTATTACCCCTGACTCACCACTCAGGGTGGTGGTAGTGTAGTGGAGAAGACTGATATATAATCTGGCAAATCCATGGAGCATTTCTTTAGTCAGATAATTAAGTTTTTAAAATGCTTGGTAATCTGCTAGACTATTCAGAGTAAGACCATCATTTAACTATGCATTTTGTGAAGAAGTCTTTCTTTCTTTCTTTCTTTCTTTCTTTCTTTCTTTCTTTCTTTCTTTCTTGGATCTCATTCAGCCTCATGGCTTTAGAACCCCATGTTTTATTATTTAAAGGTAAAGGGACCCCTGACCATTAGGTCCAGTCGAGACCGACTCTGGGGTTGCGGTGCTCATCTCTCTGAAGGAGCAGGTCCATAGCTTGGGGGTACTCCCAGAGTGCCTTCTATCAGTTTTGGCTGGTGGCCCAGCTATGCCCCTGTCTGGACAGGGATAGCCTAACTACTGTTGTCTATGCTCTGGCAACCTCAAGGTTAGATTTCTGGAATGCATTATACGTAGGGCTGCCTCTGAAGACGGTTCAGAAACTTCAGCTAGTGCAGAATTCAGCGGCTCACTGGAGCAAGATGGTTTGATCATATTACACCAATCCTGGTCCGACTGCACTGGCTACCACAATACCTCAAGGACCACCTCTTTCAGTATGAACCTACCTGGACTCTGAGATCATCTTTGAGGCCCTTCTTTGTGTGCTGCCTCCTCAAGCAGTCCAGTGGGTGACAGCACGAGAACGGGCCTTCTCTGCAGTCGCTCCCTGTCTGTGGAATGCTCTCCCCAGGAAAGTTTGCCTGGCACCTACATTATACATGTTTAGGCTCCAGGCAGAAACGTTCCTTTTAAACCAGGCCTTTGGTTGATTTGATTGACATTCTATGCCCTTTTAAAATGTGGGGTGTTTTTTGGGGGGATGGTAATGAGTTGTTTTATTTTGATTATATATTTGTGGTTTTTATTTATTTTTTTGTTCTGCGAACCGCCTTGAGACCTCCAGGTATAGGGCAGTATATTAATTAATTAACCCTCAAGCAGGACTTAACTGCAGCAATGCTCTCTCGACTTGTGATTTCCAGCAGCTGGTATTCAGGGGCATACTGCCTCTGTTAATGGAGGTAAGAAGATACCTGTTGTATTGATAACTCTTCTCCTGTCCATTAAACAGGAGAGATTCTGGGACTGCTGTGGTCGCTTAGGACTTCACCTTCAGGGCCCTCCTATGGGCTGGCTCTGTCCTGCCAGTGGGTCAAGTCTGACATCTGCACTACTCAAAATCCTCACATGGTTTCCACGTGCAACCAATTGACACCATCATATCGATAAAAGTCTACACAAGTCTGCATAAATGTAACATGTGAATTGGCCAAAGTTATTGATATTTTGTATCTCATACCACAGCATTCTGGCATATATTGGGAAGAAAAATGGATTTAACAAAGTTGATTTCTTTCTATGGATAATTTGGGATTGGGGCAAGCGTGGGGAGCTAAACTCATCAGACACATTATTGCTGGCAAATGATTCACTCAGCAAAAATGTTCACATTAATAAATTATAAAATATGCATGAAGAGGAACAGCTATGTTCCAGTGGGAACAAGAATGTTGAAAGTTATCTGATCTACTTGCAGAAATGTATGCTGTTATGAATTTCAATTTTCCATCAGGGTTACCTTAATGTATATGTTTTGCATTAAGTCAGAATGTATTTAGGGTTGCCATTAATATAGATGGCAAATATAGATGTTACAAATATATATTTAATTAAAACTTTAGGTTGTTTATGCAACAAAAATAAATGCTTTTCAAATTATTGTTAGTATATTGAGTTTGAAATTTATTGTGAAAAAATGAACCGATTCTGGCAATTTTGTGTCCTATTCTTTGCTGTGAAATGGTTGGCACTTGTTTTGGAGACTTTTCTGACCAGGAGGTTCAAAAGGTAACAGAGGCCTCAAAAGCTCAACCCAGGAAACTTTAAGAAGAAAATGAAACCTAAAAGCTTAAAGCAAATGTGGGGGATATCTGGCCTGTGGTACTATTTAGGTGAGCTAGGCCTCCCCACATCTCAGCCACCTGGCCATTTGGCCATAGCCACATCCTGGATGTCATGCACGACATCAGGTGTGGGGACAGGTAAAGTTCCAACTGGCCCAAGAAGGAGTTTGCAGTTGCCACTGATTCTTGGGGGCCTGAAGGGGGGTGCAGGGCTCCTGCAAGTACTGATGATCAGCTGACATCAGATGGGATGGCTTCACTAGGGTGTCACTTTTGGGACTGGACTTGAATTCAAAGTGTTTCCTCCAGCGTTACATAACAACTAGAACTATTCCATAAAGAAGTTAGTCCTCCACATGCAGCTGCTGGGTGATCTTGGGCCAGTCACACTTCTTTGAAGTCTCTCAGCCCCACTCACCTCACAGAGTGTTTGTTGTGGGGGAGGAAGGGAAAGGAGAATGTTAGCCGCTTTGAGACTCCTGAAGGGGAGTGAAAGGCGGGATATCAAATCCAAACTCTTCTTCTTCTTCACTTCTCCAAACACACAGCAACATACAAAATGGAGAACACACACTGATCAGGACATGGAGGCCATGTGCTCCTCCATGCTAGTACAACAGACCACACCCTCTTCAAGTCACATGTAGTGGAAGTCTGTCCCAGCTCAGGAAGAAACAGGAAGTCTTCTCCTGAATGGTACAAAACATCCCCTAACATGTCCACTGTAGGAATGTTGTACTTGACTGTAGTTTTACATCCCACACTCCCTGTAATCACCAATCAGCTGACCCACTTTGAACTTTGGCAGTGGTCAATTGCCTGATATCTTTTTTGCTTTGTTAGTATTTTGTGCTCTCGTTTCATATTTTTAAGTGGTGAACCACCCAGTGAGCTTCGGATGAAGGGTGGTACACAAATTTTAAAAATCATCATTATGATGTGAGGGGATTGACAGGTGAGTAGTTCTGCACACCTATCAAAGTTGACTAATGGGCAGGGGTGTGGGGAGATAAGGATTTGAAACACTGATTGGAAAGAGAAAGAGAAATCTTAGCAGAACCTTTACCTTTACCTTTACAATAATCAAAGTTAGAGATGAACTACTATTAAAGAAAAAAGAAAGAAACCAGAAGGTGGCAGCAATCCAGACACATAATAGGTTGTGCGTGCTCTCTCTCTCTTCAGGTTAAAGTTAGAGAAAAGTAAATATGTGAGGAGAAGGGCTGAAATGGAGACCATTTCATTTGCGGAATCTCCATGCATTATAGAACCCTGGGAGATTTAACTGGAATGGAATATGCATTCCACAACTGGACTTCTTGCAAGCATGGGTTTGGAATACCACAGTAGAAAGGAGAAGTTTCAAGGTGAAATATGTTGACAAGTGAAGGACTGACCAATGGACTAGGCTTAGAGATCTGTGGAATGTATGCCTGATTATATTTTACAACATGATGGGCGAAAAAAAATCTCCCTTAAAAAAAGTTATTTACTACAATAAGGAAAAATGGAAAGCCCTGCTTCCAATGCTTTGATTTCCCCCCTAATCTGTATATCTTGTTATAAGATCTTCTCCTGATATTTATACAGTGGTACCTCAGGTTACATACGCTTCAGGTTACATATGCTTCAGGTTACAGACTCCGCTAACCCAGAAATAGTGCTTCAGGTTAAGAACTTTGCTTCAGGATAAGAACAGAAATCGGGCTCTGGCGGAGCAGCAGCAGCAGGAGGCCCCATTAGCTAAAGTGGTGCTTCAGGTTAAGAACAGTTTCAGGTTAAGAACGGACTTCTGGAACGAATTAAGTACTTAACCTGAGGTACCACTGTACGTCAATACACTTATTGTATTGTGATCATCAACTAGTGAAATGAGCATATTCATTCACGGATTTTGTTTCCCCATTGTGTTATGCAATAATGAAGATTTTCCTTGGAAATGACCCAAATGTCTACCATGTTAATATGTCAATAAGGAATTTGTCAGTAACTGTCAGTATGTAATCCCCCCCCCCCCCATTTTTCTTCTGCTACATTCCTTCAAGACTTTCATCGTTACTAGAACTGCTGCAGGGAGATCATTAAAAATGTTTTCAAAATACCTTGGTTTGCTGACTGATTTCAGATTTTGCTCACAGGTGTAATTGACTTGAAATGTATCATATCACTTACAAAGAAAGGCAGTTGTGTAAATGGCCAGCCATTTCCCCTACTGCCATCTAATTTAGCATGTTGTAGAGGAAAATATATTTCATTCTGAGCATAAACACAATGAAATCAATACAGGATAGTTTCCTTATCAAAATGTGCATTAATGAACCTTCTTACATTGCAGATACAGATTTTAGTTAAGCGGGCAAATAATCTGTTTCTCAGCATTCCAGCAGACCGTATTGATTTCAGAGTTGTTAATATGATCCAAGTCATGCATGCCTTCCATCAAACCTTGTTTGTGCCAAATCTTTGCAGCTAACAAAAGTTTGTATTAATATATTAGTTGAAGATTTGTTGCAGCTGCAGATATCCCAGAACAGTGTTCTAGTACAATGTTTATCTCACACAACCATTTAGACATGCTAATGGCAAGGTTCAAGATGCTAGTATGCTATTTTTTGGCACGAGGACCAGTATCATCCTCTGAACTCTTAAACTAGGAGTGAGTGGGACCATTAGGCTTTCTTCCAGAAAGTTTGTACAGACTGTGGATTGAAACCATTCTGTTCTGCCATAAGTATGAAGTAGATTGTAGCATTTGAAATAGATGGTGCAATCCACTGCAGTATTCACATAGATGTTATGCATCAAACATGCTCCAGAGCTTATAGTGTTTCAGTGTGGGGATGACACTACTATCCTCACCAATGCATCAGAAACTCACATTTGCCATGATCTCCAATGTGTCAAGTGGGCAACAGTATCCTCACCTTACCCAACAAATCCAATGATGGTCCTTTGAGCCATGCTCGCTCTTTTGCTAGCCATTAGAAAATCTCTGAAGTGCCAGGGCAGCGAGAGTACTGTTGACCTTTAGGCAATGGAGCTGGTTGTAGTGAGCAGCCTGGACAATACTGTATCCATGCACTTCTCAACCTTTTCTGCCGGGTGTGAGGTCAGTGCCCATTGCTTTTCTTAGGGCCCACTCTGGCACTGAATTTGCTCCAATCAGGAGAAATGATTCTGACCAAGATACACATGTTGTGGTCCCACGATATGATTCCAGCATGTGATCTGCTTAAGGGCCTCTGCAAACCTTGAACTGGCGCTGCTCATATTAAGTGATATCATACCTTTAGAGTTTTTCAAAAATAACATAGGTTTCTGTGGGGGGAAAGGAGTTTGGGACCCAATTCTGTGTGTAATGTGTGTACCTAATTCAGTCTGCTTTTGTGAAACACAATATTAGACCTTCTTGAATTGTTACCAAATATTGCATCATCATACACACACACACACACACACACACACACACACACACACATATATATATATAGCCTTTTACAGCTGTTGGTGCATTTATTTATACTTTGACTATATTTGATTTCATCTTTAAGACCCGCTCCTCATAAAATGTCTCTCGGTCATTTTGCGGTACCCTCCCCCACAGAAAAACACCAATGATAAAAACAATTACATACAATTTCCATATATAAGAACAATTCTCCCATGTAAAACTAAACCACATCCGATACATACATATAGCATTTATATGGCCCTTCTCTTGCAACAGACATGGGAAGGTGAAATAAAATAATGGCAAAATTTAGTGTGGTCTTTAAAAGCATCTTCCTAAGTAATATGCACACAGCGTATAGTTAGGAATTTGCTCCAACTTGCATGGGCTTTTCAAGAGGATTGTACAAGTTCATGGGTGGAAATAAGGCAGGATGTGCCTCTGGGTACCAGTTTCAGGGAGTAACAAGTGTGGAGAGTTGTTGCTGCATTCGGGTGCTGCTTGTGAGCTTCCCAGCCACTGGGAGAACAGGAAAGCTGGACTAGATGGGCCATTGGCCTGATCCTGGAAGCTCTTCTTAACATTCTTCTTCTTCTTCTTATTATTATTATTAAAGATTTTCTTACAAAAGTGTGTGTAATGTCTCTCTCTCGTATATTTTTCCCCCCATGTAACATTTTTACAAATCAGTTTCATTTGTTAAGACATTGATCATCCTATATTTTGTATGATTTGTAGAAACCATACACAGAACTTTTCTTTATCAGCTTAAAACAGACTCCTGGGCCTAATTAAAAGAAATGCAAAACCGACTGTTTATGATGTTGCTAACGACACTGGGGTACCTCTCTCACCATGCTGCTCACTTGTGCTTCAAAATGTAATGATGTTTCATCTGAAGTCAACATCTTGACATTATTGCTAAACTTTAGATAGAGGGGCACTTTACTCTGACCTCTATTGTTTATGATAATCCATCAAACACAACAGGAAACTTGACCAGAATATCAAAAGGCCCCAGTGTTCTGTGTAATCCAGTTTTTAGAACAAGCTATATTTGCTTTGCTGTTAAGAGCTACTGTGATTGAGTTATACTTTCTTACGAGTACTTTCACTGAGAACTTTAAATGCAGCACACTTACGTTCTTTCATATACAAAGGTTACTTTTCTAAAAAGAAAAAAAAGTACTATGAGAAAATAGTAGTGATTAACTGGGGATGCCCTGGTATATGCATTTTTGTACACATTACCTTGCTGGAGAACTGCATTCCAAAAAACTGGAGAAATGTGAAATTTGCAGAATGGCTGTTTCAGTTATGCAGCTTTGAAAATATACAAATTTAATAAATAAAAATAGTTTTATTTTTGTTTTATTATATATTTTGTGTTTTCATTTTGTATTTTTATGTTGTGAACCACTCTGTAACCTTCAGATGGGAGGCAGTATACAAATTTAATAAATAAAAATAAATAAATTTTTAAAATGTTGAATTATGTAGGTTCACTTTTAAGTGCCAAGTAAGTTGAATTTTTCGTCATCCTTAATGACAGCATACTGACATGAGAAAAATAAAGACAGTGAATCTAAACTCTTATCTTTCTGCTATTGTGCTTATATATTTCACTTTTATAGTACAAGCTGCTTCTGCATTGCCAGTCAGAAAGCAAACAAATGTGAAAGCGCAACACTTTAATTCGTTATGATTGCAGAATACTTCATCAGTTGAATGAATATGTAAGTAATGAAAACATTAGCTGTCATTCAGAGAGTTGAAATAAAGTGGCTCCAAAGTGCTCCATCAGATGGTAAATCAAATGAAGGCATTTAGAGGAAAAGGAGAACATAGGAGGTTGAAGACACCCTTGAGGAAATGGTGACAAGACAAAGCAGAACTTAAGAAAAGTTGAGGAGAAAACTGGAGCAATGTGAAAGGGTAACTTTCAGATCATCCAACGTAGGTCTTATTAATTCTTCAAATCACAAAATCAATCACCACTATCCTGAAGCAGTGAGAGCAATGCTTCCTGCCTTGCTGGTAGCAAAGAAATTTTGGGCACTAGTCATGTGAACCCTGCTAATTTGGGCCACAGCTTCATGGTAGAACACCTGCTTTTCATGCTGATTCTATACAAGGCATCAGGTACAGCTGGGAGAAAGCCTGAAATGCTGGGAAGTTGCAACCAGTCAGTGTAGACAATTCTGAAGCAGATGACCCGATGGCCTGACTCAATATAAGGCAGCTTCCTACATTCCTAAAACTCTGAATTGTAAATGTTCTACTTTGAACTAACTTTTGGAACTTCCTCTCTTAGGCTAATGCAACTACATTTTGGTTTATTTTCTTTGTTATTTTTACTCACCTGTTTCGTATGAAATGAATTTCAATGATAATTATTGGCACCACCTATCTCTAAGCCAATGCAAGTGACATAGTTCCATTTCTGCTTCCACAAAGGCTGAACATAATATCAAGGGTCCCATCCCCCCAAGTCTTTAGCACTTTCCTTGAAATGGCATGATATTTTTTCCACTGTGCCTACAAAGTTCAGCTCTGACTGAACTTTCTGGTGTCCTCTCTAGCACCATTACCCAGGAAGATAAATCCTTCCATGATTTGGGGAATTTATGCTGTGTCAGTGGTTGGTCAAGAGA